CTGCTGAACTCCTGTTTTGATGACCTAATTCATGCCAGATTTAATCTTGTTGGGAGTAGATTCTAAAGTTAAAACACTGGCTTAGTTCAAGAAAACCCTCAGATCATTCAGATGCGTCCCTCTCTTGAGAACAGTTTACAGAGTACTTCTCATAGATGTTGCTCTCCCATCCTAAAACCAGAGTAAATGTCTTTTCCATTAAATGTTCTCAGGGGAAGCTTCAGAAGAAATTGGGTAAAAAGAGGTTCACTTAAAGTGGCAGAGTGGAATTTCCAGTCCTACTTGATGCTGTAATTTAATACACCAGTTTGTGAAACCAAGGCTAATTTTGAGCAAGGAATTGGTTTTACATATGGCTGACACTTACCTCACTTCAGTAGATATGGAATGTTTGTAAATCTTAATATATATGTTCAGCAAAGAGTCTGAAGTAAAGAAAACCCTTCAGGTTCTTATTTATATCTAAGCTATGCAACAATATATATATTGTGTAATTAATAAGTATTGCTGGATTTATTCTGCCTGTGTGTTAGAAAACCTGTACAAGTCTCAACCAAGACTTCAAATCAACATGCTCTTAGCTGGAATTTCTTCATCCAGATCTTTTGTGCATTCAGCATTAATATATTTTTTTTTCTAAGTTTATTTACCACGACTACTTATGGATGTTCCTAACTTGCTCACTCAAGTCCCAGATGACATAGCCATTTGGTGGCCATCCTTCAGGGTATATTCAGTATCAGTATTCTCCTCTGGCTCTTGATGCACAATGTCTGGGCATATACATTCCCCCCTTCCCTTTGGAGACACTGGATTGCCAAAGCTGACGGACACCATATGGGATATGGACAGGGCACTTCAGCCTTCCTATCCCAAACTGCCTCCCTGCATTACACCTGTGAATAGCCAAAGCCTGAGAGAGTAGGCAAGTACTTGTGAAGTAGGAGATGTGAGGCTGAATTGACCCACAGGAGTGCTGAGGGCAGTTCTCACATGCACTAGCTGAATGCCTTGATCTTGTGATATAAAAATCAGACACTACCTTTCTAAAGCTGTTATTTGTGTCAGGTAGTACATGTTGAAGGGACAAGATGCTTCCTTGCAGCCCCAAAGGAAGTATCTAAGGGTGGGAATCAATGCCGCTATCCTTAAGATCAGCTCGGTGGGTTAGCTTAAGCTGGGTTCTCCCTGTGCTGAGGTTGAGGGCAGCTCCCTGCTTCACTGCTTGCTGTGCAGGATCCTGTGCTGGGGTCTCGGCCGTCCCCTGTGAGTAGGGAGCAGAGGTGCTGCCTTTTTGGGTGTCCGGATTCCCTCTGGGGAGCTGGAAGAGTTATGGGTGCTGACTTCCAGGCATCTTAACTCTTCTATTAGAACACACGCCAGAGGGCTGTGCTGCCATCCAG